ATGCAGGTGCCTGTGTACGTTTAACCTTTCCAGTATATCCAGGATGTGCTTCAGCTGCACAGCGATACACTGCTGCACTGTTGTGGTTTGGTGCACACTATTCCATAGCAGAATCTTATGTTTAAATAAAAGCTGTTGCTAAAACGTGACTCTCCATTTTCCAGAAACCTCCCTGCATCCTGTGACTCTCATGCTGACTGACACTAAGGTCCCTTTATGTTGCCAGGAAAAAACTGAAAATCAGACTTTACACACGAAGATATACTGTAATGAGGAATGGGAATTAAGAATCATGGAAAATAGAAAAGAACAACTTGTGTGGAAAATTGCTATTTTCATTCCACATCTGCAAATGTTCCTCTTCAACGGAGATGCAAGATGAACAAAATTCCTATAAAAACATTTCTCATGGGTTTACCAGGGAGAAGGCAGAATTTACCTGCAATGCTTGGCACTTGCTGCAACATAAAATTCTGGAAACAATATTAGAAAGCATTGTTTATATCAACTGAGATAGAAAGAAAGGATAAAAATAATTGGCAGAAAAACTAAAACTTTATTTCTCTGTTATCAAAACTAGTGTAGAAAGCAGTTTATAATATTGCTATACTGTTATTCCTCTGGAGAGCTGTGTCTGTCATGGCCAGAGAACATCCTGCATATTCTAGAATTTGTTTCTTTAAAACATCTGAAAAGAAAAGCATGAGAGATTTTACTGCATTGCAATTTTATTCCCGACATGCAAAAAGACAGTTTTATAGTTATCATTGGTACTATTTTTTCTATTATGATTTTATATATTAACAGAAGAAAAGGGAGATGGCTCTGTAGGCTTCTGGGAGTATTTTCATATAAATGTCAGTGTTCTTACCTGCAACGAAAGGACTAACCTGCAGTAAGCTACATTACTGTGTACTTCTGATTTATGCTAATAACACTGTTCGAATCTGAAAATCCTGAGAAGACTTTTCAAATAGGCAGCAGAATACAGTAAATAACAACAGAAGCATACTCCACATTTTAGCATCCCGGAGAATATTATAGAATAGAAATTTTACAGTAGTATTTTTACAAGGAAATTTCCATCAAACTAGATGCTTCATGTTAGTAAAATTGTCCAGTAGAGCTGATGGCCCATTCAGTATTGTATCTTCACGGCTCATCCCCAGGGTAAAATAATAGTAAATTCAGTTTGCAACTAGAGTAAATTAAATCATTTTTTATTGTTATTATTATTTAAGTTATCCTTGTAAGTATCTGTATAAAATGAGGCTTCGTACAATCAAAAACATTGGTTTTGTATTATAAGCAAGAAATGATAATTCTAACAATTTTGGTATTGTGCGGACTAGCAAAAAGTGAGTGCTCCTGCCAGTATCTTATTCTGTATTTTAATTATGGGTACCATGAAAATTGCCTATGAATGAAAGTTGTATGTTGCTTTTTTTCTCTTGGACCCAAAATAATTGTCCATTTTACTCCATATCAGGCAATATATACCCAATTCCTGTGTATAATAACACTGAATAGACAATGAATGCATGTTTATAGTAGCAGATTATTTGCTTCTGTAGCCAATGCATGAAAACAAATTCTGCCTTGATAGCTTCATGCTACATGTAAGCAATAGGAGGAGCTGTTGAGCAAGAAATGTTTCTTCCACATGTTCAAGTCATTACACAGCGTATAATTAAGTCTATTTGTGCAGCTGACTCAGTGATGGCTTTTCATTCCTTTCACAAATGAACAAAAGTCAGACTTCCCCCCCAACAAAACCAAAATTAAATCCTTCAATAACAACTGATATCCCAAATAGTTATGAATTTTTTATATTTGATTTCCAGTGTTTAAAAGAACGTGTTTGGATCTTGGAGTTCTGTTTCTCCTCTGGGGAAGTTTGCTAGAGTGAGCAGCGCAGGATGCAGCCACGGAGTGCACAGTGAAACCCCTGAGCCGGTTTTTTGGCTCCCTCTGGACCAGACCACTGGGCTGTCTCAACGTCGCTTTGAATTTTGCACTCGATGGTACATTTGTGTAGAACTTGTACTTAATACCTGGATTATTAGCATTTAATTAGTGGCCAGTTCAATTTATAGGGCTGAGTATTTACACGGATGATTTTGAGACGGCCCTATCATGATGACAATTGCTACCCCATTGCATCTGTTTAGCAGAACAAGACTTCGCCTGTACCCTATTGTTTCATCTGCCTCCCATTCAGAAAGGAAGGCTTTAGACACTCTGCAGCTGCAGAGCGTTTCAGATCATAGTTTCAGAGCCGAGATGCTTTTGAAACCAACTCAAACTCTCTTGCAGTATAAAATATGCATAATGCAATGGAAGATAGGCAACAATAATCATTTTGCTAATGGACTGCTCCAAGGTAGTATGGAGCATCTTCTGCTTCGGGGAGCATTTAGCACAGAGAGGATCCTGTACTTCTTTGGAGAAAGCTGTTGGACAGTGTATGGATACTAGCCCTCGGCAACTGAAGTACCAATGAGGAGATGCACGCTGGGGGCTGGAAGAGTGATTTGTGCAGTCTCTGGCTTGAAACCACTTTATTTCACTTCGCAATTCCGTATTCTTAATTCAAATTGCCACCAGTGAAACACAACTTTTCATACAAGTCACCGTTCCCTGACAGTACATACACATTTACATTTCATTAAAATGATGATTAAATAAATAATGAATTAGTTTGTGGTAGTAAGCAGTATTCTCCACATTTTTACATTTATTTTATCTTTCATTAAACATAAAATTAAATAGAATTTAAAAAAGCCATAATACAGTTATTATTAAAAGCAAACACAGTTGTTACAGAGCCAATTTTGTTTAGCGGCCACATACGGCTTCCAGCCAGTACCATGAACAACTCAAAGGGGAGTTGCTGCAGCAGATACAGCAAAAAGACAGGGAGAAGAAATCAGCTCTCCGAGGGCAAGCATACAAAGACAAATTGACTGCGCTGAGGGATCTGTGTTGTAATGCAAGTGCCCCAGGCACGCTAAGACACAGTTTAGATAGAACAAAACTGAGGCTTTGTTTAAACTGAGAAGTTTTGCTGGAAAAGCTCTGTTCATAAAATGGGGCCTTAGCCTGACCGAGAAGCTTCAGGCTAGATGTAGCTACAAAGTTTGTAGCAGCAAAAATATTATTTCATTGGTGCAACTTATTTCAGCCTCTGTTTGTGACATTTAGCCTTACTTTTCCTGGGAGTACTGGTTAAGTCAGCTACTCAGTCAGCATCATAAGCTATAGACGCTCTCAAGTCTGTGTTGTTACCGTACTACCAAACTGACGGGCGCTTATTTTCGCCTTTCAGGTAAAGAGCCCACAGCTCAAATCAAGTGGATGGGGACAGACGGGAAGATAAAGGTAAGAGTTTCCTCAGGCCTGAACCGTACAACTTTGGACAGTCCTTTGAAATCCTAACAGAGTGTTACGCGCCTCTGAGATTTAAAGCAGTATCATCGTTATCTACAACATCTGTCATTAACTTTCCTGCTTCTCAGAGTTGGATGTAAGGATCAGAAAGGCTTAGATCATTACCTTTGGATTAATCAGGTTTGGGTTTGTGTAATTTACTTACGCTGGTCTTTGAAAAAACTAGCAAAACAATAGTTTGGGTATGTTTATGTGTGACTTCTATCTTAACAAAAGTCCTCGGGAAGTGGGAGCCGCCGGGAGACTTGGAAGGCAGGTACCTGAACACTCCGCCTGGGCTGAGAGACAGTTTATTATATTTTTCACTCAAAATTTCAGACTGGTCTTGGGGTTTGCTAATTCATTCTCAACACCACTCTTACGTGTTTGACTCTTATGTCAGCTGTCATACTCTCTGAGGTTGGTTGACGGATGTTGTCAGTTTTCAGACCCCCCCGTCTGCCAGCTGGCTGAAAATCACTCCAGCTCATTTGCAGCTCAGGCACTACGCTGAGTTGTTTATATTCCAGCAAACTTCTGCTCGCACAGTCACAGCTTGTGATTTTCATTGCTTATCAGTTAGCAGAAAAACGACGCTTACAGAAATGGCTCAGAGAAAGAGAACACGCATTTTGAGTATTGGGGTTTTGTCCCATTAAAACGCTGTCTAGGCAAACTCTGCTCTCAGTTTAATA